GTCTCTCTTAGTTACTAGCTTCTCTGGTGGTGTGATTACAGGCTGGTAATCCTTGACTGATCACTAGGAAACCAGCATGGAACTGATCCAGACCCCATAAATGTGGGTGTCAGTGAGGAGGCCTCAGAAATATATGGTGCCTATTGTAGTAGATCAGTGCTTATCCCTAGCATAGGAATGGACTTTGGGAGCCCATTTCACATAGAGGGGATACTCCCTCAGTCTAGACACATAGGGGAGGGCCTAGGCCCTATCCCAAAGGATATGACAGACTCTGAAGACCCCCCATGCAAGGCCCCACTCTCCCTGGAGAGCAGAAATGGTATTGGATGCCATGGTGGGAGAGGGAATGGGGATTGACATGTAAAACAATCTTATTTTTAATTTAAAGAAAAAAATTCAAACTTTTGGTTGTTGCTTTCCAGGCAGGGTTTCTTTGCCTTGAACTCACCAAGATCCACCTGCCTCTGCCTCCTGAGTGCTGGGATTAAAGGTGTGTGCCACCACTTCCCGGCTTAAAATTCAAACTCTTAATAGCACTGTATTCTACTGCAATTTACAATGGTTATAGACATGTATAATAATCTATACATACTCATTCATATAAGATCTGTAGATACACATGTAAGACCCTAAGAAAGCACTTTTAATCATTATTTATATCAATAAACTAACTACAAATGCCATAATCTAAAAACAATCTTACAAAGTTACCAATGTAACAATGACAATGTATGAGCAGCTTTCAGGGGTTAAGCTTCTAAAAGTAACCCATAACCTGGAGAGAAGGCTCAGGGGCCCAGAGCCTAAACCACTCTTCTAGAGGACCCAAGCTCAGTTCCCAAGAAATGGCAATAAATGTATGCTTTCTGGCCTTTTAAATTTTAATTTTAGGCATTACTACATAATTTACCAGTGTGACACGTTGTTTATTAGTTAGGTAACTAATAAACATTAAAAAATCAGTTATTTTTATGTATCACACAACGATATAAAGTCACAGACAGCAAGATATCATCTTGCCACCTTTTAGGACCTAAAAAACAGTCAAGGATTATTTAAAGATTCATAAAAATCTATAACAATGAATAAGATAGACATCAATCCTTCTTTCCATTTAATTTTCTATTTACTGTGCCTCAGCTTGCCAGATGTGTCATGTCAGCAACAAAAATTAATTCGGAATAATTGAGCTTGCTTTAAATCTAGCAGAGGAATACTGTCCCCAAAGGGGAACATATTTCTCAAAGCACCCTGCCTACTGAAAACATAAAGCCTTTCATAACAATTTAAATTATTTTATAGCTATTATAGAAAGTGACTTCTTCCTTTTGCCCATGTAGGCAAAAGTTTGTATAAGCAATCATATGAATTTGGCAATACATTCTGACAGATAGTATGGTACTTTCTAGGATTTAGAAAAAAAAAAGGGGGGGTTTAAATAGATGGCTCAGTGGTTAGGGACGCTCTGTTCTTCCAGGCGTTCAGTTCCTAGTACTGGTGTCAAGTGGCTCATGACCTCCTGTAGCTCTATCAGCAAGGGCTGGAGAGATGGCTCAGTGGATAAGAGCACTGGCTGCCCTTCCAGGGACCCTGGTTTGAGTCCCAGAACCCATATGGCAGCTCACAACCATCTGTAACTCCAGTCCCAAGGGATCGAACACCCTCTGCTGGTCTCTAGGGGTACTGCAAACATGTGGTACACAGACATACACTCAGCCAAACATCCATAAACATAAGAGAAAAATAAAACTTCAAAAAATACTGCCGGGCATTCGTGGTGCACGCCTTTAATCCCAGCACTCAGGAGGCAGAGGCAGGCGGATCTCTGTGAGTTCAAGGCCAGCTGGTCTACAGAGCAAGTGCCAGGATAGGCTCCAGAGCTACACAGAGAAACCCTGTCTCGAAAAACCAAAAAATAATAATAATAAAAAAAAATAGAAAACTTACATAAAGTAGACTTCATCAATGTGATCAAAACACAATGTATGAGAATTCTTCTTTAAAAATTTAAAACATAATTTAAGAAATTAGAAATTTTTGTATTTTACTTTTAAAGATTATTTTAATTTATATATCTGTGTGTCTCTTTTGTCTGTGTATATGACAGTGACTGTGTGTATGTGTGTGTGTCTGTGACTGTATGTGTGTGTGTGTGTCTTTATCTGTGTCTGTGTGTGTCTGTCGTTGTATCTGTGTCTATATGTGTGTGTCTTCATTTGTGTCTATATGGGTGTGTGACTGTGTGTATGTGACAGTAACTGTGTGTAGGTCTGTATCTGTGTCTGTGTGTATGTGTGTCTGTGACTATGTATGTGTATATGTGTGTCTATGTGTATGCGACCGTGACTCTGTGTGTATAGTTGTATGTATCTCTGTGTGTGTCTGTGACTGTGTGTATGTGACTGTGTCTCTGTGTGTATTTTTGTATATCTCTGTGTGTGTGTGTGTCTTTATCTGTGTCTGTGTGTATGTGTCTGTGTCTCTGTGTGTATTTTTGTATATCTCTGTGTGTGTGTGTGTGTGTGTGTGTGTGTGTGTGTGTCTTTATGTTTGTCTGTGTGCATGTGTATTTGGGATGCTAAAAGACGATGTCAGACACCTGGGAGCGAGAGCTACAGGAGGTCATGAGCCACTTGGCACCTGGAAGAACAGAGAGTGTCCCTAACCACTGAGCCATCTGTTTATCCCAATAACTTTTGTTTTCAAACCCTTGAAAACAGCATATTTATCTATTTGGTTTCACCAAAAAGGGGGGAAAACGGGCAACCTTTCCAGTTCCTGACTTGTAGGAAAGATACAAAAGAGTGAAAATCAGATAAAAAATAAACAAAACTAAAGGAAAAAGAAAGAGGAGACCGCTTCCCTCCTCCACCATTCCTGCTGCTCCATGGCCTCTTCATCCTACCTAGTGGCAATGGGAGCTGCACGAAGTAGGGCCTTTTGTCCAAACAGCTTTACTCGCAGATGCTCCCTGTGTAGCGAGCTGCTGGTCAGGCTCATGGCGCTGCCTTTGGTAGACCGTCCACACTGGACCCCACCAGGCACCCCTCTCCTACATGCTGCTGTGCCTAGGGTTCCACACGTCAGCAGGGGCAGAGGTTGAACCCCAAAAACGTTTATATTTTAAAGGACATATGACTTTTTAAAAAGACAATCTACAATGTAGAAGAAAATATTTAATAATCACAGAATAATACTAGGCCTCAGCTTCCATCACCTCCCACCCATATCACTACAATAACCTTCCCACTGAACTTGGAACCTCGACTACTTACTTTGAAAACAGTACCTAAAAATAATCTTTAAAAAATAATAAGTTGTAGTATGTCACACCTGCACTGGAAAGTATCAGGGGTCTTCCTCTCAGAGTACATGCCAAAGTTCTTACATTTCCCACAGACAGTGCGTCCCCTCCCATGGTATCACGTCTCCACACACACACTCCTCCTCATCTGTTCACTCTGAGTATTTTGCTTTCTTCAGATACCTTAGCAACTATTTTAAGGAGATTTATTATAGCTGTTACTGTTGTGTGGAACTTTCTTCCTCATTACACCCCATAACTAGGTGATAAGACCCTTACTGAGGACACCACATACATGAGTCACAGGGACACAGAGAAATCAAACTGGCAGTGACCTGGAAGCTTCATCCCTACTGGCTAATTTTCACGGAAGGTGCTAAGTACAAAACTAAAGGGGAAACCTAATCAACAGTTACCCAGCTGTGAACACCATGAACTACAACGATGACCAGCGTAGCAGGTACGCCCATTGACAATCCTGACAGTGTTTTGGCAGTAGCCAACCTCTTTCTGACTGGATGGAAGGCCCACTCCACAAGACAGAATTTATACCTGGTCCTGTTAACTGGGCCAAGAACCATTAGCTGGCTGAGTCATAAACTCCAGAGAGGAATTTACTTCCAGCATTCCGCTAAATGGACATGGTACTAAACTGTACTCCATAGACATATCTGATCGACCAGACCAACGGGTTAGCACAGCTCTCAACTGCCACCGAAAGACCTTGCTGTTGCAGTAGCTGACAAATAACAGAGACTCGCAGCAGCTGGAACGCACAGGGCACAAGAGACGCAGTGCTCAGCCCTGGATGGGACATCGACCTCGCACACCCTACACAAGGTTCCGGGATCTCCTCAGAAGAGGTGCTGGGACGACCACAGAAGCCAGTGGTGGTAGAGGACAGGATTTCCCACTCGTGCCAGGAAGGCTGTACATGAACTCCCCGCAGCTGCAACCGTATGCTTATGACCTGAATAAGACCAAGACAGTTCAAAACCCAGCATGGACGGGGAAAGGGCCATGGAGTCCTGCCTCTTGCTGAGGAGATACTTGCAACTGAGGGCTGCCGAGGGAGGGAGAACCGGTTTACTTCAGTGCAGCCCCTCTAGGCAGTCCATGGTGCACTGGACGGCCACAGCCACACACACACTGTAGACTGGCGGACTCCCGGGTTTAAGCACAGTGTGTGTGAAGTTGGGAAGGGAAAGCAGGGGGCTACAGCTACAATGAGAATGAAGAGAGAAGCTGTGCTAAGTGAAAGAAGCCAGTCAAGAGAGGTTTTTACAGCAGTGGCAGACCTGATAGTTCAGACCAAACCCAACCCCGGAACGGCTGCCCTGTCCAAAGGGAAATCTTACCTACTATCAGGCTTCTTTCTATAACTGTCAATTATCCAAAAAGTGAATAATCTCCTATCAAAAACCTACCTGCAGTGATCACTTTAATAATGAAAATATATGTACTCTTACTAAATTTCTGGTAACAAGTATACATTCAAGTTGAAGTTAAAAAGTAGTGTTTTAAAATCAGCATATCACAGAAATTTTATAGCTCACAGTCTCCAATCAATACATATTACCTTTAAAAATACTGAAGCTGGATAGGAGAAGCCATTTGAGGGATATGTTACAGAAGAGACACCTCACTGGTCATTTTCTCTCGGTTAGCAAACAGAGTGAAGTGAAGGTGTTACCTGTGCACTGCCCTCCGTTGGTGGGGTCTCCATAGTACCCTGGCATGCAGTCCTGACACTGCTTCCCAGTGGTGAGATTCTTACACTGCTCACACACATTGCTGTCGATGCACGTGCTGTGTCCGTTACACTGGCAAGCTGGAGAAGACAGTAAAGCGTGTCACAAGTAACCAAATAGAGATAGAAGCACAGAGCTCCAAACAGAAGCTACCTTTAAAATACAAATCTAGCAAAGATAAAGACCTTTACCCAGCTTTTAAATACATCGCACAGGCAGCCAAAAGCATCAGCAGGACGTGAACGCGCCTTATTGTATGGTCACAATTGACAGCACTGTTTGTAAGACGTAGGGGTAGAGGTGATGAGCAATACTACAGGTTAATTAAGGAGTAGTTTAATATAATCATTAAGGAACCATATGAATGTTTTATCCATTAAAATGTATAAAAACAAGATTAGATAATATAGCTTTTGACCAAGGATGGTAAGTTCTTAGTACATCATGAATATATTTATACTTAATAAGGAACTATAAATACAGAAAATTATCTGGCAACAGAGTTTTATTTCCAGAAAATGAACTACTATTCAGATGAACAAAGGGACCTTTTTAATTTGAATAAAATGTATCTTTTTATGGGTTTTTCAAGACAAGGTGTCTTTGTGTAGCTCTGGCTGTCCCGGAATTCACTCTGAAGACCAGGCTGACCTTGAACTCACAGAGATCCTGCCTCTGCCTCTTGAGTACTGGGAATAAAGGTGTGTGCCCCACCACCCAGCAAGGAGTATCTTAAAACAAGTTGATTTCTAAACCATCTATAAAATAAAAAAAATCTAACATAAAAGTTCATGGTAAAAGAAAATCAAATATGTAAAATAATATTTAAAATATCACAATCTTGTTTTCAAATGTTTAAAACTTACAAATATGCCCTTCATTTTAGTTAGTGATGACAAACTTAGTTCAGCAAGATATTTCTGCATTTATCAGTCGCCAACAATAAATATGGAGTTCTTTTGTAATAAAAACACTGGGGCTGGAGAGATGGCTCAGGGGTTAAGAACACTGGCTGCTCTTCAAGAGGCCCTGAATTCAATTCTCAGCAACCACATGGCAGCTCACAACCATCTATAGTGAGATCTGGTGCCCTCTTCTGGCCTTCAGGCATACATGTAGGCAGAACACTGTATACATAATAAATAAATAAATCTTTTTAAAAAGAAGAAAAATCTTTAGAAAAAGAAAAAGAAAAAAACACTGTTATCACAACTTCTACTATTATGCTTAAATGGTTAAAGAGGTATTTTGAAGATTTATGCCATATATATGTAATTAATTCACTCACATTTTTAAAAAAAAATGAGTACCCACTCCACATAAATTGCCAGAGGAACCAAAATAAGAAACAGGATAGCATTACTTTGTGGGATTTCAAACCACATGAAAACATTATCTGGCCATAAGCACTTGCTTCTGAATAAGAAGGGTGAATTCAGCTCTCATATCTAAAGTCCTGTACAGATTATGGCTGCAATAGCAGAGGTGTTCCTACAAGAGCAGCAATTTGAGCATGGTGATAGCTACACAAAGAACACAGGACTGATCAATACCACCTCCTAGCATCAGAAGAACACCACTGGCCAAATGCTGATTAATCTCTGCTGTCTGGATGACAGAAATCCAAGGGCAGCCAAGCAGCCTGCTTCTTGGATCCAACTCCACATAGCTCTGACAACGTGTTACAGGGAGGTCTCATAAAGAGGCTGTATCACACAGACATGATAGAATTTAGACCCAACTACATGGGGACTTCCAGGGATGGAGGGTGCTGGCAACTGTTAAAGCTTACAACTAACACATTATCGATGGCAAAGGACGAGGTGTGCTGGAAAAAAAAAAAAAAAAAAAAAAAAAAAAAAAAAAAAAAAACTGGCCCCCTGTGTACCAGCTATATCAAAAACACAGAAGGAAGGCTACACTCGTAGGTCTAGGCTTTAATGAATGCTCCCATCAGACTGCATCAAGAGGTAGTATACCTTGACACTGAGTAAGTCTCCCAGGGTAACTGACATTTCAAATGCTCTAATATCAACATTAACTATAGAACACACATAAAACTAAAGACGATCCATCTATTTTATTTTGCTACATTTTAAATCTACCCCCAGATGGCTCCTTATTTATGGAAACACAAACAGGGGAAAAAATCAAAATAAAACATAATGACAAATTCATCATTTGATATGCAAATAATGCACAGAGTTCTGAAAATATGGGCTCTCTATAAACAGATGTGTACAGCATTTAAAAAGTTTTCATGATATTATTAGTAAATTCCCAATGTGTTTACACAGAAATTCAAGGGGGAAACAAAAAAAACTTAACCACAACCTTTTTTGAATTTATAGCCTACCTTCATATAAAAAGAAATTGTTGGGGACTAAAATGATGCATGGTTTCAAAACAAGAATTATAAAGAGTGAGTTAAAAGGAAATCTGGATAGACAAGCAAGAATCAGCAGGCATGGGTTCCAAGTCTAGCAAGGCCAAGAAATGTAACTGCTGCCACCTTCCAGGAAGAGCGAGAAACCCGAGTCCTGTTTACAAACGGAAGTTATCACCTGCATCCGTGCAGAAGAACAAATTACCAAAGCACACCATAAGACCAAAGAGGCAGAAAAGAATCCAACACACCACTGACATCTATACATGAAAGAGCCACATGAGGACTTAAACTTTCACCGTGTGGGACTGAAATGTCTGTTACCACATGGTGAAGGAATGCTAAATCAAACATTCATATAAAACACTCTCTGCCAGAGGTCTCTAGGACCTCACAAAGGCAGCTCAGAATGACCCTTGAAACGCATCTACAACTCAAACCATGTAAATATACCCCATAGAACACAGAAGAAAACATTCTCTTCACTGGAAGGCATGGTGATACATTATTTATGATTTAATAAAGATTGCCTGGAGATCAGAATGCAAAGCCAGCCACACTAGTTAGCCACAGAAACTGGGCAGTGGTGGCACACACCTTTAATCCCGGGACTCAGGAGACAGAGGCAGATGGATCTCCATAAGTTCAAGACCACCTTGGGCTACATGAGAGTGAACCAGTATAAAAGAGAAACAGAGCTTATGTCTTTGATGTCATCAGTAGAGAGATTATAAGGAGCTCAGTGCAGTCTCAGGCAGCAATCTGAGGTTTGGTGAGCAGCAGTGCAATTTGGAGACACAATCTGAGGTTCTGGAATCTCCCCTTCGGTCTGAGCAATGGTAGAGGTGAGCGCCCTTTGGCGGCTTGCCCACTTTGCTTCTCGGACCTTAGGCTTGAACACAGTCAATGTCTTAGACTTTGAAAGCCACATACTCTTATTTTTTTCTCTCTTTTCAAAATTTTATTTTGAAAAAAATGTGTATTTTGTCTGCTGTACAGCACATGTGTGCGGTTCCCTTGGAGGCCATAAGAGCACGTTGGTTCCCCTGGAACTGGAGTCACATGTGGTTGTGAGCAGGCCTGTGTGCTGGGAATCCCACCCAGTCCTTCGGGAAGCAGTGCTCTTCAGCCCTCTTAGCGGGTTATTTGGGGAGACGGGAGGAAGACAGAGATAGAGAGAGAACATGAAACTGGAAGAGGTGTGTGATCAGAGGGTCCAGAAGGACTTGCTGAAGAGTAAGACATGGAGAGATAAACGTGATCTTCGGTTTCTTGAAATTCCTATTGGGAGTATTCGGAACTCTTCACTCTACCCTACCTTAGCCCCCGGTGCTCTTGCATCTTTATCTCTGCTTATTTCTCCTGAACACTGACTGCTTCTCGGCACTTATCTTCTTTCTACTTTGTTGACTCTGTCTTGCTTATTTTACCTACTTAAAGTACTCACTGGTCTTCAATTCCACTAACTACATTTTTCCTTTCTATAAGATTCCTTTTACTACAATTCTAAAACTGGTGTGTGTTTTTCAAAATGTACTTTAAAATTTAGATTCACAGAATTTTATATTTATAGAAGTACAAAAATAGAATAAGGTGATTCATACCAAATGTTAGTATCCTACCCCAACATTTAACAAAATTAAGAAGCATTAGCTAATTAATAGTATAACACTATAATCAAAATTATAGACTTTAGATGAACTTCACAACTTTGACAAAAATGTCCTTTTTTGTTTCATTACTCTGTCATATTATACTGACTTTATTAGTATATATTAAATATACATATCAAGGGGATTTATTATACATTTCATACATAATAAGATCCTTTGATCATATAACCCACCTTGCCTCCTTAACCCCTCCCTCTCATAGCTCCCTCCCTCTTCCCAAGTCATCTCTTTCTAATTCACACATGTGTGTGCATGCACTGTGTGTGTGTGTGTGAGAGAGAGAGAGAGAGAGAGACAGAGACAGAGATCCACAGCAGAGTCAGATTCATTTCTGACAATTTGCATTCCATTCTGCAATTCTGTTAAGTGGGATGGCTTTATTACACACAGTAAATATCACATTCTGTGGTATATCAATATAAATTGTGTCTACTTTGGCTTTACAGTACTAGGCACCGAATCAACAACCTGAAAGTGCTAGGCAGTGATCTACCCCTGACCTACAGCCCAAGAATGCAATATGGATTTTGAGAAATACACAGCCATGCACTGCCTACAGGACAGTAGCGAGAGCCTCCACACCTCCTCAAACTTTACGTAATTTCCACTGAAAAGCAATCTCTGTCCCCTCCAGACTGACGACTCATGTCTCTGTCCACACACCTTGGTCTGTTTCGGGTTGTCTTTAAGCCATCTCTCCATAAGCAAGTGCACTGCAGTGCAGACAGACAGGGCACCCGCAGTTCCAGCTCTTTGACTGCCTTCCTTTGTTTCTTCCACTTTCACTTGGTTCTGTGACCTCATGCTGCCGGGTAAGCGTCCCATCTAAAGTGCCGACTGGGTAGCTCTCAACCCTACTGCCTCAGCTGTCACTGTTCCCAAGGAAACTATTCATCAGGCTCGTTGGGCAAGCTCAGATGTATCAGGTTTTAGTCCCATGGCATCAGGAAGACAGGAAGAAGCAGAGAAACACCAGCCTCGGGGACCGGCTCTTATGGGCATTCGTCATGGCTCTTCCCAAGTCCCCAGTGGGCCTGAGTACCACACTGCTGTGTGGCAGCCAGCCTAATAAAGCAAGTTATTGATTTTCTACCTCCATGTTTAAGTTCTCCTCATTCCTTCATGTACCTGTCACCTCTTCTGTAGCTCGTCACACAGGTATCCCAGTCATGAAACATTTCTTCTTCTCCTTCAGGCTTTTATCAATGTTAACACCTCAGCAAAGCTTTGCTTTCTAAAAAGCAAGCTTTCATTGACCAGTATTCATCTCCACATAACCTCATAAATTTCACTTATTTCAATAAACATATATTCTCCATGGGTGTAGTGGTTTTAAAACAATTTATCAACTACGTTTCTAGTGCCTAAAACACTAAATATTCTTTACTACACAGCGAGTACTCAGAAAACAAGCACTGAATAAATTAAATTTTCAACTTCCTTCCACACAAGCACAGAATGAGGAATACAGAAATATGAAGCCAGCCCCTGAAAAACTAAGTGACTTCAAATTTGAATAGGAGTGAATATCAGTGGTGGCTTTCAAAATAAGGCCTCGTGAATCCACTATGGATATTCAGTGCACAATATCCACACTCACCACGAGGTTTACTGGAAACACTGAAGAGCACAAGAATTCTGAAGTAGTATAATAATACAAACAGAAAAAAAAAACCAGTGCATTCATGAAGAAAATGGAGTTTCTGTTACCTGGACATTGGATAAAAGACCACTCATAGTTCTTTTCTTTGGGGCACAGACTGGTGTCCAGGGCCACCTCGCTGCCATGTGCTCCGCCGAGTCTCATCGGGCCCCGTGAGGAACCCTCAGTGCAGTACCCTCTCCCTGTATCACTGGGGTCATTGCACCAGCCACACCCCGGCTGCTCCAAGCACTGGCCACATGTTCTCAACCCAGAGCAGTTTTGAGCTGCAGGACAGAAGCATGAAAACAAAATGATATTATAACCAAGCAGAATTGCATGCTTCAGAAAAAAATGTTATAAGAAGAAAGACATTAAAATGCCATCTGTGGTTAATAGAAATATTTTTTGCATAAATACCTAGCAGATAAGAACAAGTCATCATACATATGTATACATGCACAAATAAACATATATACATGTATACATAACACAGGTCATGAACAAATAGAAGATGAATTGGATATTAAAAGGGAAAACAATAAAACATGGTAACCATAACACAGAAAAAAATTAAGGCAGTACTTAAAGATTCCTGAGTATCTTGTCATCACGGAGCATTGAGAAACTGACCCAGACACCTGGTAAACATCACATACTCAAGACCAAAAGACTCAAGAATTCACTGAGGATCTTATTTGTTCTGAGATGTTTGAAGGCCAAGAACCTTGGAGACTGGGTTTTAGAAAGTAGTAGGCAAGAACCATCTCAAATCATATTAAAAATAAAATATAACATTCACTTACTTAACTTTCTAGACAGGTAATTCATAGGCATGAATGTTTTCTTTTCCAAAGTTGTATCTTCTAGGCCCTTGGAACACACAGCTCTAGACGGGTATCTCCAGCAAATCCCTCCCTCAGAGCTCAGGGAACCCCACAGAAGAGGAGGATGTGGAAAGAGAGTAAGAGCCAGAGGGGATGGAGGGACCAGGAGAACAAGGCCCTCGGGTCAACTAAGCAAGGCTCACATAAACTCAGAGAGACTGAAGCAGCAAACTCGGCCCTACACAGGTCAGCAACAGGTCTTCTGCAAACATTTTATTGCTTTCAGCTGTTTTATAGGACTACAGAGGGTCTGAAGGAGTGGATCTCTGATTCGTGGCCTGCGCTTGACAATTTTTCCTTCTGTTGGGTTGGCTTATCCAGCCTTGATGGGATGGGTTTTCTGTTATCTTATTATATGTTGTTTTGTCATGTTTGGTTGTCATCTCTTAGAAGCCTGTTCTTTGCTAATGAGAGACAGAAGGGAATGAACCCAGGGGGAGGGGTGGAGGGAATGAAACTGGAGGAGTAGAGGATGGGGAAACTGAAATCAGGATATACTATAAGAGAAAAAAAACTGCTTTAGTAAAGGGGGGGAGTTACATCTTGGCAATGCACAGTGATAAGTGACAGTCCCTTTAACAGACACTAAGGAACCAAACATTTCATACATTGCCACACCCTCCTTAGTCCCCTAATCTGAAGCATTTCCTTTATTTCTCAGATAACGTGTAGTTCACATATTGGCTGATAGTTGTGATGACTGCCTTAAAAACTGTATTGGCTTACTGTGAAGTCAATGAGAAATAATAAAAACTATCAAACCTTCCATAGGTACAGTTATATACTGTGATATTCCAATCACAACTGTGCTGTGTTGCCATGAAACTGACTGCCTCACACCCAAGGGAGTTCACATTGTCTAACAGACTTGTATTCTAAACCACTCCCTAGAAAAGAAACTTTGCCTTAGAATTATCTCTTTAAGGAACTACAAATAAAATTGGAATAACCCCCTATATCTTATCAGACCACCATACTTTAAAGTTAGAATTCAACAACGATACAAATTGCAGAAATCCTATTAACTCATGGAAATTGAATAACACCCAATTGCACCATTCCTGGGTCAAGAAAGAAATAAAAAAAGAAACTAAAGACTTCCTAGAATTTAATGAGAATGAAGACACAACATACCCAAACCTATGGGACACTCTGAAAGCAGTGCTAAGAGGAAAGTTCATAGCACTAAGTGCCCACATGAAGAAACTGGAGAATAGTCACTCTAGAGAATTAACAGCACAACTGAAAGCTCTAGAACAAATGGAAGCAAACTTGCCTAGAGGGAGTAGACACCAGGAAATAATCAAACTGAGGGCTGAAATCAATAAAGTAGAAACGAGGAAAACACTACAAAGACTCAATGAAACAAAGAGTTGGTTCTTTGAGAAAGTCAACAAGATAGACAAACCTTTATCCAAACTAACCAAAAGGCAGAGAGAGCATGCTAATTAACAAAATCAGAAATGAAAAGGGGACATAACAACAGACACTCAGGAAATCTAGAGAATCATCAGGTCATACTTTGAAAACGTGTAGTCCACAAAATTTGAAAATCTATAGGAAATGGACAATTTTCCGGATAGATATCACTTACCAAA